TGCTCGGACCCCACGTGGGGACTCTTCACCAACCCGGACCCCCGACGATTTTGTCTTTTCAGCTGCGCGTCCTTCCTTTGCCCCTGGGGCCCTTGGGCCCGCTGTGTCGGGCCCCACGGCCATCAGAAGAAAGAAAGTGAGTACGGAACGCTATCATTGTGGGAGGGGGCTTGGCACTGCCTATCCGATCGGGTTCGATGCGATTCGATTCGCCAGTTGGTGGCCGCGATCCCGATTCGATTCGGGACGATTCGCTAGCGACCTGGTCAGATCCGATCTCGCGATTCGGCCCAGCTCGTGCCTGCCTGTTCTGGCCTTTCTCAGGGCGGCGCACTATATGATTTACCGCACGTCGACGGACGCCAGGGAAGTGAGAGGGCCAGTGAGTGGCGACAGGCTCCCGGATCTCGGGAGAAATTGTTGTCCACCCTCACGCGGCCCCCGGAAGTCCCGACGCTTCCCGAAGACATCCCGAGGATCGTGCTCTGACGGCCTCCGCGCGCCGCCTTGGCGCAGTGGCGGGGTCCCGACTGCCCTCCGCGGGCTTGCCGTTGTGAGCCGCCGAGGCCCACGGAGGAGCAGCCATCGCGGCGCGAGGCGGGGTCCTCGGCAGCCTCCCGGAGGCCTCGCACACAGCTCTAGGCCTCCCAGATGCGGTCGGAGCCTCCTCCCTCCCTCCACCCTTCCGTCCGTCCCTCCCTCCCTCCTCATCTTCCTCCTCCTCCTCCTCCTCCTCCTCCTCCTTCCCTCCTCGTCCTCTTCTTCCCCCTCCTCCTCCGCTTCCTCCTCTTTTGCCCGCTTCTGCTTACCAGGCGCGATTCTAGGCAGCACTCCAGCGTTCTAGGCCTCCAAGATGGGGTATCTGAGTAGGGGGGGGCGGAGGATCGCGCCGTATCGCCGATGCATCGACCATGCGGCGCGATGTGCAGCCCGATTTGCCTCACCGACGATGCGAGCGAGCACGTCGACGTCGCCGATGCATCGCCGATTTCGCCGAGGCATCGCCGCCGCATTTTTGATGCATCGCCGATACGCCGCCGATGCATCGTCGATGCATCGGGGTTGCAGCTCGATCCCCCGACTCCATCTACTCCGACCCCATCTAGGATGCCTCGCGCACTGCGGAGCGCCGCTCGAGAGCGAGCGGCTCGCGCGATGCCAGAATCGACTAACAAATCACGTCGTCAACCTTCTTCCTCGGAGCTCCGCGAGGATTCCCTGGATCGGATATCTTTACATCACTTCTCGGGGCTCCGCGAGGATTCCCGCGAGGCCAGAATCGAATAGTCCCTCGGAGTTCCGCGAGGATGTCTCGGGTCGGCGCTGAGCCCCCTGGCGGTGTCTCCGGCGCCGTCCCTGTCTTGCCGGGTGCGCCAGGGAAGGGGTCCGGCGCCAAGCCGAGAAATCCGCGCGGGCCTCAGACAAGTCATGTTCACGCCGTGTTATACCCCTACAGAAACAGGGCTCATTTCGATTCCTCCGATTGGATTCGATTCCGATGGCCTCCGATTCCGACTCGATTCGACATGGGATTCCGATTTTGGTTTCGATTTCTTCTTGGAGGCATACTAGCCTGCCGATGTTTTCCGATTCGACTTTTCCCGACTCAGCTGCCGATTGCCGCCGGTCCGAATCATGTCGATCCCCGATTCGATTCTGGGCTCTCCTGCCTCCAGCAGGGGCCAGACTCAGAGCGCGGCGGAGCTGCGGTTCGTGCGGGACACGGAGGAGGCCCCGTGGCACCCGCAGCAGAGGACCCAGCGGCGTTCAGAAGTGGGCCGTGCGAGGCTTTTGGTGTCGCTCCGGACGAGTGCATTTTTCTCTCGGCGGGGATCATCGAGAAGCATCCTCAGGGGAACGATGAATGGCTGAAACATACAACTCGGAGGTCCGCGTGGAGTTCTCGGATCCGAGAAATCCGCGCGGACATCGGAGTTTTGATGTTTATGTCATTGCTCGGTCCTCTAATCCTGGATCATCTTACGAAAAACGCACGACGACGACAAAAGCACGGGGAGTGGACGTCCGAGGAGTGGTGGGGAAGGGCGGGGGGGGGCGGCCCTCTGAGAGGGCACCCCGCCTTCAGAGGCCCTCTTTGCCCTCTTGGCAAGTCTTCCTGGAGGCCTCTGAGCCTCCGAGAGAGGCCCAGTTTGTCGTGCCGCGCCCGGCTGTTGCGACGAGGGCGAGATGGGGCCAGCCGCTCAGAGACGCCCGGCAGCCTCCCAGACGAAGTCGCCGTCGAGGGTGGCGACGGCCACTGGGTGGCAGCAGGAGGAGCCAGGGGGGGGCGAGGGAGGAGGAGGAGGAGGAGGAGGGGAGGAGGAGGAGGAGGAGGAGGCAAGGAGGAGGACAAGGAGGAGGACAAGGAGGAGGAAAAGGAGGAGGAAAAGGAGGGGCAGGGGAAAGAGAAGGGTAGGGGGAGAGGGAGGGGGGGAGGGGAGGGGGGAGGAGGAGGAGGAGAGGAGGAGGAGAGGAGGAGGAGGAGGAGGAGGAGGAGGAGGAGAGGAGGAGGAGGAGGAGAAGGAGGAGGAGGAGGAGCAGGAGGAGGAGCAGGTGCACCCGCAGGAGCAGGAGCCTGAGCAGCAGGAGGAGAAGGAGAAGGAGGAGGAGGCGGAGGAGGAGGAGGAGGAGGAGGAGGAGGAGGAGGAGGAGGAGGGGGAGGAGGAGCAGGAGGAGGAACAGGAGGAGGAGCAGGAGGAGGAACAAGAGGAGGAGCAGGAGGAGCTGTTTCTTCGGTTTTCGGTCGTTCGCTTCCTCCTCCTCCTCGCAGACCGCCTGGCTGGCGCATGCGTATGCCCTAGGGGCCCTCTGCGTTCCTGTTCTGTTGGCAAGCCCTTCTACGCTGCGCCAGCCAGGCTTAATTCGTTCTTTCGCACCGCTAAATCGGCGCTATATTTCCCTATCTAGGCTCTGCCTAGAAGGGTTCTTACTCGGTAGCTTAAAGGGCCGGGCAGTGGAACCCGCCCCGGGCGGTTCCCCCAGCATCCGCCCCGCGGTTCCCCCAGTTGCGCCCCCTGGGTTCACCCAGCTTTGCTTAGCTTAGCTTAGCTTAGCTTAACTTAGCTTAGCTTAGCTTAGCATCTACCATCTTAGCTTGGCTTAGCTTAGCTTAGCTTAGCTTAGATCAGCTTAACTTAACTTAGCTTAGCTCAGGTTAGCTTAGCTTAGCTTAGCCTAGCCTATCTTGGCTTAGCAAGCTTTAACGTAGCTTAGCTTAGCTTACCTTAGCTTAGCCCAGCATAGCGCAGCGCAGCATTAGCACAACATCCAATAGCATAGCATAGCATCGCCAAGCATAGCATAGCATAGCATAGCATAGTATAACATAGCTCAGCATCTCATAACATATCATGGCATATCATAGCACAGCATACCATAGCATAGCGCAACATTTCATAGCATATCATAGCATTGCTTAGCTTAGCACGGCGCAGCTTAGCATAGCATAGCATAGCATAGCATATCATAGCATAGCATGGCATACCCTAGCCTAGCCTAGCCTAGCCTAGCCCAGCATAGCATTGCGCAGTATAGCATAGCATAGCATAGCAGTGTGCAGTATAGCATAGCATAGCATAGCAGAGCATAGCATAGCATAGCATAGCATAGCGCAGCACGGCATCCACTATTGCTGCTGCTAATGTTGCTTTCCTAGAGGCTCCAACTCCTAGGTAGGGTCGCACAGGGATCATTTCTATAATGCTCCATGCTGTTGCATTACGCCCACGCAACGTCAAACATGAGGACGAGGAGGAGGAGGAGGAGGAGGAGGATGGCGAGCAGGAGGGAGGACGAAGAGTGAGTGAGGGAGGGAGGGCGGGAGTGAGGGAGGACGGGAGTGAGGAGGCAGGGGGGGGGAGGAGGAGGAGGAGGAGGAGGAGAGGAGGAGGAGGAGGAGGAGGAGGAGGGAGGAGGAGAGGAGGAGGAGGAGGAGGAGGAGGACGAGGAGGAGGAGGAGGAGGAGGAGCGAGAGCAGCATCGCCTGCGCGAGCAGGCGCAGGAGCGCGGAGGAGGACAAGCAGGCGGCACCCCCCAGAGGAGCAGGAGGACCGGGAGCAGCAGAGAGCAGCCGGAGCCCGCCGGCTGCGTGGGCGAGGGCCCGGCCCGCACCCCCGCAGGATACACGTGTACCGCCCGGTCTTCGTGATGGCGGGCACCGCCCCAGCGGCCGGCGACGCCGCCCTGGGGAGCTCGGGGGCGGCAAGCAGGGGGGTGATGACTAGGGGGGGGGGGATCTCACCACCCACCAAACCACCCCACCAACCCAAAAAACGCATGGTATCCGTACCCCCCCCAACCCGAAATTCGGGTCAAATTCGGGTCTTCGGGTTGGGTTGGGGTGGTCTGGTAGGTAGTCAGGATCTCACGGCGTGGGCCATGATAGTTCCCCAGATCTCATGGCGCCTCTTCTTATTCCCTTACGTCCCTGGCCCCCCCGCTGGGCCGCGCACATGCCGCCGGTCATGGTTTGCACCCCCCCCTCTTGGACACCCCCCTCTTGGCCGCTCCCGAGGAGCTGGGCCAAGCCGCCCGCGGGGGTGGCCACCAACAAGGAGCCCCGCGAGCGCGAGCTTCGAGTCGGCGACCGCAGCCAAGACGCTGACACAGCAGCCGAAGAAGAAACAGCGCCCTAAACATATAAGTGTTTGGCGCTCCGCGCAAATTCCTCGGATCCGCGCCGGGCCCTCCCGGCGGCCCAGGGCCAGGGGGGTCCAGCGGGGATCCAAGAAGTCCGCGCGGAGCGCCAGAAGTTTGGATGTTCACGGCGTGCCTCCTGAGAAGTCGGTGCCTGCAAGCAAGGCGCTGGCGTGAGGCACAGGTTGGGTTCGGCCGGGGCTCGGTGTTCCCAGGGTGGGTCCACGGCTGTGCCTCGGGTCTTGGGGATGGCCACCAACAGGGAGCTCCGCGAGCGCAGGTTCTACAGTCAACCATGGTAGTAAGGATGGGGCAGCTGTCCAAGGCTATCCTTGCATCCTTGCCCCTTCGGTATTCGGCATCCCTCAGCATTCTGCTGCGCTCCGCACGGAAAACGTCAACATGGCGTTCCAAGGCCCTTGCATCCTTACCGCGCATCCTTGCCATCCTGGTCGAGTGCAGTCGGCGGCGCTCGCGGGGGGGCAAGTGTGAAGGAGCAGGCCTCCTTAGAAGGCGGCGGGGCTTCTCAGAAGCCCTCTGGCCCACCGACCCCTATTCCCATCCCCATCCCCTTCGAGGCCCCCACCAAATTCCCCCCCAGTTGGGGATACACCTCTCGAAATCCGAAGGAAACGACCTGTATCCCCATCTAGGGGGGTAGATCGGCCAGTGGGGCCCAGGCCACGCCGCTGGGGATGGGGATCGGTTAAATGATACTGAGCATCTGCGAATGTCTGGCGCTCTCGGCCGCCTTCGGCGCCTCTCCCTTGATACGTACCCTGCAGTGGCAACGATGCTCGGCTCACGTTCGGGGGCCTCCAGCTGATCTGGCGAACATACCGTGCGGTGCGTCCGTGGAGATTCGGCATCTCCGCGCGATTTTTGGAGACTCTGGTCGTTCTCCGAGGACGTCTCGGGCGACGGGGGTCCCCCAGGGGCCCAAACCCGTGTGGTGACGGACCGCGCGGTGAGAACGTTTGGGATTCCGAGGTCACCACGCGGTCCGTCACCACACGGTCGTGGGGGCCCGGACATGTGCGATCCAGCATCGTTTGCTTATCCATTGTTTTGCCGATCGGCGCGGGCCCTCGCCCCCCCCCCCCCTCCCCCCCCGCTGTGTTTGGCGGTCAGTTCCAGCAGGCGGGGTCTCCCCCATGGGACACGCATTCCAGACCCCCCTTTCCGCCCAATGTCGAAGCGCTGGGTAGTCCAAGGCCAGACTGTCAGATTGGATTGGGCCCCCAGGGCCAATCTGGCCCGGCCAAACTGGATGATTTGGGCTATTCGCCAGACTGGATTCGCGTTGGCTCCCTCGCCAGATTGCCCCCGTTTGCCAGATTGGGCCTGCCAGATTGGCGCCAGATTGGCCTCGACTACCCAGAAGCGCCGAACTCGAAAACGTTCACCCATGGATCCAGAGGGCCGCTTTTTGCTTGGAGCCTTCCCCCGGGGGCCCAGCCTCGGGCGCGAGGAGGCAGCGCCAGGGAACGCCGTGGCCTCTCACCGGGGCGGGAGGCCCACGGGAACATCCAGGAGGGAGGGATGGAGGGAGGAGGCGCGGAGGGAGGCGCGGAGGGAGGAGGGGAGGGAGGGGAGGGAGGAGGGGAGGGAGGAGGGGAGGCGGGCGGGAGGGAGGGAGGGCAGGAGGGAAGGCATCGGGCTCCTCGCGCTGGCGCAGCTCGCTCGTCGCCCCCCCCCCCCCCCCCCCCCCACAAGGGGGCCCGCGGCCTCGGCGCGAGAGAGCTCCGCGCGCGGGAGGCGGGGCCTCGGCGGCCGCCACGGGGGGGGAGGGAGGCCTCGCACGCCGCGCAGGGGCCGCTCGGAGCACGAGCGCGGCTCTCGCGAGGCCGGGCCCTGAGATTCTGGACGCCCGGAATGGGTACCGAAAGGATGGGTACAATGCCCCAAAGCAGTTCCTGCTCATTTGGAACAGGACTCGCTGTCCGCGCCACCACGGCCTGTGTCCATTCGAGACAGAAGGCCGCTTGCCCAACATCGGCCGCTGCTGGTTTGGGGCAACGTTTGTTGTTGGGCATTGTGCCCATTCTTTCCGTACCCATTTCGGGCGTCCAAACAAGAGGTGGGGCCTGGAAGGGGGTGGTGCAATAGGTTTGGGGCAATCGTATTGAGAATGTGTTGGGCCAGAATGTTGTGTTGCATCGTGTTGAAACTGACGCATTGCGCGTGACAGCCCAGCAATACATTTGCGCACCAGAATGTACTGCACACCCCAGATCGATTGCAACCCCACAGAGCTACAGCACCAGGGCTATTGCACCACCACCTTGTCGCTGGACCCCCGTTTGGGTCAACCAGATCAGTGTAGTGTTAAGTCGGGTGTGTCCCTCTACAGGAGGATTGTCAAAAAGTATGTCACACATCGTCTGGTGACGAGATGTTTATTGTTTGTGGTCATGTTTAAATATTGTTTTACATTATTTAACTGTTTCGCCCATCGGTCGTTGAGAGTACGTATTTTTGGGTTCCCAGAACCCAAAATGCTTCAATCGCCTTCCTGCTTCAAGAATCGATTTGCTTTTGCAGCGCTCTGTTGCTCTCTGGGCGGGCCCGAACCCAATCTACTCGATCCGCCTTTTATACCTTACGCTTTTCTGCGTACTTCCGAGATCTGGGCGCCCTCTTGGATCTCAGCCTAGTTGTTTGAAGTCGGGCATGCCCCTCTACAGGAGGAATATTCAAACAGAGGTAAAACATTGTTTGGCGACGATGTTGTACAATTGTTGTCTGCGTATTCTTTGATTGTCTGAAGATTTTCGCCCAACATCCGCCTGGAGGAGGACAGTCCCGACCTACGTGCAGTTGTCCCTAATTACTCTGAGTCTCCCAGATGGGGTCCGAGTAGATGGGGTCGGAGGATCGCGCCGCATCGCCGATGCATCGGCGATGCGGCTCGATGCGGAGCCCGATCCTATCCACGCTGACGTCGCCGATGCGTCGCCAACGTCGCCGATACATCGGCGATGCATTGGCGAAGCGTCGCGATCTCTCGACCTCATCTATTATTCAGACCCCATCCAGGAGGCCTTTAATTCTGGCGGTCCCCGGAAGTCCCGACCTTCTCCAGGGACGGTTTCTCACACCGCGTCGTGCTCTGACTGTCCCGAGGCCCCCCCGCCCCCTGCCCTGGACGCCGTGCCCATGCAGGCGCCGTTCCAGGTGCGCCGCAAGCGCTCGTGCGCCCGCGCCGACGTGACCTCGTTGTTTTTCCGCGCGCCGCCTCTGCGCCGCGGCGGGGTTCCGACGGCCCTCCGCAAGCTCGCCTTTCTTCGGGCCGCGGGAACCCACCGAGGAGCAGCCTCCGACCGCGAAGTCCGCGCGCGCGAGGCGGGGAGTTTCGCCGGCCGCCCAGAGGCCTCGCGCACAGCTCGGGGGGCCTCTCGGGAAGGAGCGGCTCGCGCGATGCCAGACCCTGAGATCTCGAAGGGGACGCTGCGGCATAAACCCCACTTTGCGGCACGCCGCGCGGATATCCTGCATCGACGCGGGGCCCACCTTGGTGGCGTCCACGGCGCCCCGCGCGCCAGGGAGGGGGGCCCAGGCGCCGAGCCGCAACGTTCGCGCGGGCCTCGGTGGAATCCGTAGGCCTTTGCCCCCATGCCGCGGGGCCCCCCTCCTCTTAGAATGGGACTTGCCAGGGCTGCGTTGGGATGTCCTGGGCGCTGGCGCGGAGCAGTGTCGGGGCATCGCGCGAGGGCCGAGATTGATTTGCGAGGGTTTCTGGTTTCGGTGGCGCGGGCATTGAGTGATTGATTATGGTTCATGGTTTCGGGGGCGCAAGTATTGCGTACTCTGCAAGGGTTTACGGCCTCGGGGACGCGAATATTGTATACTATGCAACGGTTTATGGCCTCGGGGGCGCAAATATATAATGCGTACTTTAGAAGAGTCTACGGCCTCGGGGGCGCGAGTGTTGTATAATTTGCCATGGGTCGTGGCCTCGGGGGCGCAAGCTTGACGTCATGTGCGAACGTTTGTTGCCGTGGGGACGCGAATCTTGCATAACCTTCGAAGGTTCATGGCTTCGGGGGCGCGAATACTCCGTCGTTTGCGTGGGCTTATGATTTCGGGTGCGCGAATCTCGCGTCATGTACGAGGGCAATGGTTTCGGTGGCGCGAACATGGCACACATTACACATAGAAGGATCGCTTCGGCGATTCGAATATTACATCATTTACAGACGGTTGATGGCTTCGGGGATGCAGATACCGTGATTCACGAGGGACGCGAATCTTATTATTTAATCTTCGAGGGCCCATGGCCGCGTGCACATACATGGTGCGTAATTAACGACGGCCTATGGTTGCGAGGACGCAAATCTTACGATGGTTCCTGGCTTCGGGGACTCGATTATTGTTTCATTACAGATGGTGTATGGCCTCGGGGGCGCGAACATCGCGTTCTTATAGGGGCGCATGGTATCGAGGGCACGACTCCAAAGTAACCCCGTGCCCCCGATAATAAACCTTAAGGGATAATGAAGTTCGGGGGTCTTCGGGGGGATAATAACAGTTGCCCGCCAGGGCCAGCATAAAGAGATATCAAGAGGAAAAAACCAAAGAGCTCAAAAAGCCAAAGATATCTTGATAATCCTTGGTCTTTGGTCATCTATGAGACATCCTCAACAATGATTTGTCTCGGTTGAGACATCCTCCACGACATCCCTATGTATTGTTATACATCCCTATAGATTTCTATGTGAATACTTATAGAGTTCGATCGATTCCCCCGGGTTTCTTTAGATTCCTATGGGTTCCTTATAGATATTTATGAGTTTACTATTATTTGTTATAGAAATGGATTGGCGCTTGCGTCGGCCCCATTAACGAGTTCCATGGATAGTAAACTCCAGCGATAAACAAGTTCAGGGGGGCAGGGGGAGGAAAAGACAGATAGAGAGATACATAGAAATATCGAAAGAGAAGAGGAGGTAGAGGAGGAAGAGGAGGAGGAGGAGGAAGAGGAGAAACAGCAAGGGGAGGAGAGGATAAGGAGATAGCAAACATCCAAAGTCCAAAACTTATTAGATTTGATTTGTAAGCGTTTCCTGAAAAAATGAAGTTGTCATCTGATCGCGTAGGGTGGTTCATTTGCCTCGGTTTCCTTGGATAATAAAGCACAGCGGTAAACAAGTTCAGGGGCCACGGGGAGGAAGAGAAAGAAACATTGATCATTTCGTTTGAGCCAGCATCCCGAAAGTATTGGTTTCGCTTGAGACATCCTGAAAAAAAACGTGTTCGCTTCGCTTGGTGCTGTTATCTCAACATGAGAAGGAAGCGACCTCGATGGCGAACTTTCCCAGTGATGATGAAGTTCGGCCTCCGCGCCCCCGCGCCCCCGACCAAA